TCAGGTGGTTGGAATTTCGAACTGAACCCTTTATTTCGATCGCTGGGTTAGACTGTTCTAGTTCCACGTGCCATGTTTGATGGATGTCAGTTATCAGTTATCTCCTGCTAATTTTCCCTCTGAAAGTTCTCCACTGCCTTAACCAGGTATTGAACTCACCGTCTTTGTGTCTGTCACTGGATCTAACCAACGCCTTTATCCATTGTGCCATGTGTCAAGGACGAAACGTTGTGACAAATATGGCGACAAAGATGAGGACAATAGTCCGACTAATGTAAATACTGTACATAATACCTCATCTCAGAAATATAGACAGAGTCTAAATAAATTCCGTTAAATAAAATTTTGTAATTATCTTATCAATATGTTGCTAAAGATTAACAGAGTTTTAGCTGAAAAAATTAGTCGTTTCATTTCTGCGTTTATTCTGTCGGTGCCATTCTTGCATGAATTCATTTTTTGTCCGCATTATGTTTTTACAATTTAACCTATATTCACTTTATTGTAACAATTAATAAACTGTACATTTACTTTGTGGGTATCATTATATTGTCAGATTCTACCAATAAAAAGATTTATTTACACAATGTTCACACTATACAAGGCCCAAGTCGAGTTTAGAGTAAGAGGTAACGGGCACAGTTTATGAGGATATATGGGATAGATAACGGTTCACCCGAGACGCGAGCGTGTTAAGTTTGTAATGATCGGAAAAGCATCCTCTTGGGAGTCCGCTCCACATCGCAGCGGTCAGTGGGATGAAGCAACTGGAATGGAAGTTACATCCCACCAATAGAATACGAACTGAATGAAGCTGGTTGGCTATGATTCGTGTAGCATGGCGAGACTTAGGCCTGAAGACTAACAGTTGTTTTATAGAGACAGAAATGGACATCTTTTCCCTGATAGATTCTGTGCTTATCGTATGACATATAGATGCAAATGCCAGCATTTAGCTATAATATTCACCCCATGAAAGACCCAAGAGCCACTCGAGGTAGAGGGTTACTAAATAAGAGGTAATTCTATGCGGATATGGGGGGAAACATAACGGTTAATGATTGTAAACATTGAGGAAGTATCCTCTTAGGAGTCGGCTCCTTTGTGTGAAGAAGCAATTCGACAGGAACTTACATCTCACCAACGAAATACGAAGAGATTGAGGGTGATTGGCTCTAATGTGCCTAGCATGGCGATACTTAGCACTTTCCATTGATATAGTCACAGAGTAGCGAGACGCTTGAGAAGTTTCCTCTGTGGGAAGAGGATTATACGGTGGAAAATAATTCGTCACTCACGAGGATAGGAATAGCCTGAGATTGATGTATATATTAGAAAGGAATAGGCTGAAATATATTTGTAAGACTGGTATCACCCCCAAGAATAAGTGCGACATAATTATCGATATTAAAGTATCTCTCACTGTCGCTAAGAGAATTAATGGTTGATTTTTTTCTTAAAATCTATTTCACTACTTAGCTCTGGGTAGGAGAGTTTAAGGAGAATGCATTATCCAAATGTCTGATTTCAAATTAAGTCCAACTGTCCATGCGTTCATGCTTATGGCTACATTAAATGACACAAAAAAAAATGGGAGCCACTAACGCACAACACAGAAGCCATATTGAATCTATTCCACAAGGGTCTATCAACGGCAGCCATCAGCAGTAGCCATACTTGGCCATTGTTTGACATTGTCCAACCAGTTTTTGTATTGCCATCCTCTTCTACATCCACCTTAAACGGTGTCTTGCATGATGGTCTTCCGTAGGCTGTCGTGCCTTGTAACTTGCAAAAACCACGCCATTTTCTCCGCTTGACAATGGCGAGAAACTGTTCCTGGTGGCCCATAAAAATGTCAGCCCTTTTACCGCAGAGACTCATTGGTTTTATGTTTCCAATAGAAGATGGCAAGGGGGTTTCTCATGTATTTGTCCTCAAACGCTTGGATTCTTCTCTGTTTCTGCCAACAGAGTCCACGTTTTACATCCATATAGGAGAATAGAGACTACCAGTGATTTGTACAGTCAACTATATCATCTGTCTAAATACTGTAATCCAATAAAAACCATGTGCAAGCTACTGCTGATTTGATCCTATTGTAAAGCAGGTAATACACGGTGGAGTTCATCGTTTCAATTCCAGCCAGTTTGGATTCAATGTTGTTCTTTTAGATCACTTGCATTCCAAGTCAAAAACTAATAATCTCCCTGTTACTTTATCCATAATTAAAAGGGTCTTTGAGTCCGAACACATTAGACATATTCAAAGGCGCTGTCCCCCGACAGGCAACTCGTGTGCCATTTTATTACACAAGATGAGAGCTGGGATTAATCCTTGGCACATGAGACGTTTCAATATTTAAATCCCAAAGGATTTTGAGCAGTTCTTTTCCCTCATTACTTATACGTATAGGACGCCTTTTTAAACGGGTTTTGTAACATTCCTTGGTCAGCGAATAGGTAACTGTACTTGATGGTGCAGGAAAAGATGGAGTCATGCCCTTCTTTATAGGAATTTATGCAGCGGAAATTCAACAAACTTCTCGAGTTTTATTTTTTGCCATTAATGACGATGCTATCAGTGTTGTTCATGATGACGGTCGTCTTTGATGATAGAATCCAGAGGTTAGCAGTGATTATTTCGAAGACAGTAGGGAAGCGTATTTTAGGTTAGCAGTGGATATCCCGGTAAAAGTAGCAGAGCGTAGTTCATCCTTCTGTTCGTCTTCGCCTGACAAGCTGGATCTGGACATTCGGGTAGAGTAAACAAAATGGCCGCCTTTATACACGACGGATTGAATATTCTACGTCTTCTGATTGGTTAACCTTCTTTTAGTGGACTATAAAGTGAGTCAAATCATTTGGGCTAGCTCACTAGTTACATAACATACACAAAAAACTGCAACAATCAGCACGCCTCCTCTGTCGTATTCTTTATTTCAAAATGAACAGTACAACATGCAAACGGCAAATTAGAGACACCAAAAATACAACTGCAACAATTTAAACATCTGATAATTGTTTTGAAAAAAAAAAAGTGACACTGAAAAACGCAGTCGCATTGAGAAAGGGAACAATGTCTTTCAATAGCTAAGCAAAGTATTAAGAAACAAAAAATAAAAATAAAAAATCTCTAGAATGAAAAGAAAGAATGCTAAACAATTACATAATATCAGACCAACTATATGTCAGTGAATTCTGGCGAGTTTTCTCACAAATGAAAAAGAGACCTGAGGTAACAGTAATGCACTTCTACAGAAGGATACTGAGAATACCACAGGCCTAAACAGTGAGCAACGACGAGGATTTAGAGAAAATAGAAACACAAAGGACACTTATACATAGCATCAGAAAGAGACAGTTGAAAAAGGATTTGGAAAATGTGATCTGTTCAGTATTGTGGTTTTCGGATTTGCGGAATGTTTCACAAAAGATGTTCACTGATGGGACCTATGTGGCGTGATGAGACGACCACACTCTACACACTTTCCTTCCAAGCACTGCTATAAACAACCCAAGTGAGCAAGAACGTTGTAACTTAATGTGGATATGCATTTTCGTGGTTGAACGAACTAAATTTTACATTGGCTTACCCAAAATAAGGAACATGCAAATATAAATCATGAAAAAGGCTAAAATGCCTTTATAAAAGATTCTGGAATAAAGTCACACATGTAGTTTATAAATACATTTAACAAAGGAAAATAACGTATATAATAATATATATATATAATATATATATATATATATATATATATATATATATATATATATATATATATATATATATATATATATATATATATATATATATATATATATATTCCTTCAAACGTTATTATAGTAGAAATAACAAAAGTTGAAATAGCCCCAACTAAGAAAGTTGAAATAGCCCTAAATTTTTATTTAATAAACGATAGACGTAATACAAATTGTTTGTTTAAATAAAATGAGGCGTCTATTTCAAATACGAAGTGGGTGTGAGTGGAAATTATTTTCAGATAGATTATATCTGTAAAGAAACAAAATGGATAAAAAGGCTAGAGGAAAAACTATTCTTAGTCCTCGCACATTTTGTTGCACATGTTTGTTATCGTAATTGTTCGGGCGGAGTTGAGATGTTGAAAATATACAGACAGACAGACAGATAAAGTAATAGACAGATAGGCAGATAAATTCTTTGATTTTTATCAATTATTTTATTAATTATTATTTATTAATATGTCTAATGAATTATTAAACAATTTATTCCTCTTCATTCTTTACGACCTCCGGCCAACGATCTGCTCCTTGACTATAGAAATCACTAGGTTTTGGCTCGAAAAATTCAACAGGCTACATTTTACATTCAACAACGTTGTTGAATGAAACACCCCTCAAATTGTTATAAAGCGACAGGAAATATGGTCGTCTAAAGGAGAAAGAGACAGTTGAAAAGGATTTGCTAAATAAAGAGAATTTGAAGCGTGATGAAGGACTTTCCTGTCAAGATCTTTTTTTTTTATCCATGAGTAGGCTGGTCTCGATCGAGTAAACTGGTGGCAATGGAGGAGCGCTAGAGTGTATTTCTCTCGGGCACTCATGTACCGCGTTTCGAGACCTTACCCACTGAATAAAGATGACGGGCGAAATTAACATTGTGGTTTGCCATCTTCTGAGCTAGTTCTCTAGTCATCTAATGATGTTCGTCTTGGTTTTCATTAAACTGAACCGGTCCGCTAGGACGCGAAGAGTGTGTCAGGTCGATCTTTGCGTATTTGAAACGGGAAAACTATTTCGCTGCCATTGTGTCGGTAATTAAGTCATCTCCATACACATCACAAATGTCTCCAGCAGCTATGTAACCTTGATTAAATGCAAAGTGAAAATGTCAAAGATTCTCAATTTTGTCTACTTGGCAATCCATGTCAAAGTGGTATCTAATATGAAATAACACTTTAATGGCACTAGAAAAAAGTGTTATAAAAGATTATTCGTCTACATCATTAATGTTGTGGCTTTGTTAGAGCCAAAAATAAAGACACAAGAGAGGAAATGAGTTAAACAAATATATTAACATCGACAGTAATACAAACATACACTAACGAGAGTTGCAGCAAGAATGTTCGGTCCGACTGTCAGAGCTGACTGTTGGAAATTACCCTCAACAAAAGGCAGTACCTGCTCCTATTTATAGCTGGGAAAGTCCAGGCGTGCGTGTGCAAATTACTATAACAATTTGTTTTTTTTTAACAGCATATAAACTCCTTATGTGTCATTTAAAGCAAAAAAAATGATTTTGGGGGAGCTTTGAAAAAACAAATATGTTATATGTTATTCTGTATTCAGAGTTAAATAAATGGTAGATGATAATCCGCTTTTTTGTATATATATGCCTGCGTGGAAAAAAATAACTAGAGCCGGTGATACGTGTGTGTTTAAGTTATAGTATTGTTGAAGTTATAATTTGGAATACAGTTTGATTTCTTTAAAAAATGTAAGCTATTATATGTATTATTATATTTGTTAGTTGGATGATTTTTGTTTGATGGCATATCAACCTTTTTGGGTTATTTAATGCCGGACCGAAAAATTTTGGGGACAATTTTATGGCTTCAACTACAGATATAAATCTATTACTGGTTCCATTGCTATAAAATAAAAATCAATTGCTGGTATTATTACTTTAAAAATATATATTACTGGTATTATTACCACAAAAAATTATTCCTATATTTTCATAGCGTATTGTTTTTGTTTGGGGTTTCTATTTGCCCATAGTTAGGACCCTAACAGGTGGTAACACTCAGACAGGTTGTATCTTGGAAGAACAGCAATTAAGAGGTAATTTTACGCTCCTCGAAATTTATAATACCCCGAGCAGAGGCCTTGCTGCCAGATGCAGTTTATCGTCATACCCAGGACGAGAGATAATTTGTCGAACATCAGAAAAATGAATGAATATATGTAACAATAACGGATAAAGAGCTAATGGATGTCATCTTTTAAACCGACATACTTTTATTATTCCAAATGCTCATTTTTGTGGATATCATTAATTAAGTTGACATTCCCTGTTTATTTAAAACATTATTTCCTTCATTTACCTTTTAGGAAATTTATTAAAGCAAAATGTATATCTGCGTTTTTTTAACGTTTTATTATATATATATATATATATATATATATATATATATATATATATATATATATATATATATACACATATATATATATATATGAACACAGTAAGTTTTAGATAAAGTAGGCAAAAACGAAAATAACACAGAGGACTCATTTTCAACAAAATCAAATCAAATAACGCGCATATGCGAAATTGAAAATATAAAATGTCGACTATTTACACATCGCGCGCGCACACACACACACACACACACACACACTCGCTCTCTCTGTCTCTATCTCTCTCTCTCTCTCTCTCTCTATATATATATATATATATATATATATATATATATATATACAATATTCATTAAAGACGTTTTATGTAATATATATATATATATATATATACACGAACACAGGATGTGATGTATAAAGTAGGCAAATGGAAATAACACAGACGACTCATTTTAACACATATATTTACCAAAGTTACATAAAAATTTACTAAAATAACAAACAGTAAATTTACTCAATAAAATCGCCATCTGCATAAATCACAGACGACTTCGGAATCTCCAGCAAATGCTTCTGGATAACCTTTGCCGTCAGTTCATCAGGCAAGAAGTAAGGCATGTAACAACATCAGCACGGCAAATGGCACTCCTTTGCAGCAAGGTAGGGCAAAATATTTAAGTAATTTAAAGTCAAGTGACACCGTATGAGCGTACGATTTTGAATCAAACACGGGCAATATATATATATATATATATATATATATATATATATATATATATATATATATACAATTTTCATTAAAGACGTCTGACAGGGTATTTTACTTGTTTTTCGAATAAATATTTTTTCTGGACATATTTTGTGTAAAAATATCCTGCATATCTGCACGCTTTCGGTTATTCTTTTAACAATTAAGATTGAGGAATTTTATTTTTATTTTTAACTTAATGTATAGATATAGATGTTTTTCTTTTTATATATGTATATACAGTTATAGATTTTTTTTTCCTGATATGTCCCGGAAAAGGGATATATTTGATCGCAGTAGCTAACGTTGTTTTTGGCTACTGTAACCAAACACGGTAGCAGTAATCGACTGGTACTCGTCGTAGTCGCAGATAACAGGTGTAGTCCACTAGGATAGCCAATGTCTTAGTCCAATGGACGTCGTCATAGATTTAAACTCTGTCGCACCTACACGTCTGTCTGTATTTAGGACGGACACCAGCCAATCATCTTCCAGTGAGGGGGAACACAGGTGTATGCATATTCCATGATATCATTTCCAAACACGGTTAGCATATTTTGTCCGTGTTCATAGTTGATGTTATTGATCCTGACGTTTTCTTTTGTATTATTAATGCTTCCATTATTTTTC